CAGCCACCCCCAAATGTTGTGCACTATGTTGGATATGCGAACAAGATTCTTCCGATATGCGAACAAGAGTCTTGGAGTGTAACAAGTAAATCCAGGATCGCGATCGACGAAGATGATTTGTTGCTGAAATAACAAGAATATAGTAAATGATAAAGTGCAAGTATAATTTCGACACAAAAAAAAGGAAAGAACTCAGTCGATGAAATTTCGAAGTTTTTTTTATTGTCATGCATGCATTCCCATCGACATAAGAGACGTATTACTCATTTTTGAATGAACGGTGAACCATACATTCGAAGAGGAAAAAAAATTAAAACAGAAATACGCCAGGCCTACGTCGAACACGCCGCACAGTCAGAGCGTAAGCTGGAGGAGTAGCTTCAGAGATCATTGCAAACTCTCGTAGGTCTCCTAATTCAAACGTACAGTTGCGAAGTGCACACAATGCCAGTATTCATCATGGTTTTATGACGTAGCGGAATGCACACTACGCATTCGTATAAGGCAAATTGTACATATCTTGGTTTCTGCGCACTTTGTTGGCGCTGAGACTGGTGATGATGATGATAAATTATGGTTGAGTCGTTTGTAATCAGTAGGCAACTTTATGCAGTTGACGTGTCATGACAACTGTTGAGATTGTACATTTCTGTCCAGCAATGCTCTATCTGTTAAAGCGATTCCTGAATCATCGAAACATTTGTATAAGGTTTTTTTTTTCCGAAAATGCTCTATGCCTTGGCAAATACTTGGCTTCCATGCCGAATCCCTGAGTTCGCTTCTAGCTTCAGCCGCATTTTTATTTCTTTCTTATTGTGCAGGCCTCGCTGGCGGCGTCGACGGCACCTGACATAGCCACCGAAATTGGCTGTCGTTGAGCTCAGAGTAGCCTCCGCTGTTTCTGCTATTTCACTGGGATTTGAAGAGAACGAAATTGTTTCGACATTCGTTTAACGTGCGTATTTTCGCACTTGGGAGCTAGGTTCCTGTATAATATGTAATAATGAGCTCTTCATACGGCAAAACTTCTCGGAGGATGCAAACACACTGACTCGGCGTAATGCCTCCAGGTTTTGTAAATATTGTTACGGGGTTTGTGCTGGACGGTGATTGTCAGCCAGTACTGCACGCCGTCCTTCTTCAACCTCTGTTGCTGTTGTCACTGCTCCTGTACTAGACCCACTGACAATATATAACAATGTGGTTTACTTTCTTCTTAGGGAGTAGAAATGGCGACACCGTTTTTAATGAAAAATAGTTGCGATTGGTGTTTGCGATTGGTCGGAGACCGTAATATGTCTTCCTTCATGCTATACTGAAACCATTGGGTCAAACACAGAGGCGTGTAGTTTGAATGACCATTCGTAAGATTTAAAGTACGAAAAACATGTTCGCTTGCTGCGAGACGTGGAACTGCAAAATTACGCCATCCCCCTTGTTTCTCTGGCTGCTTGCTCTCGTAATTACGTCTCGGTAAATAGAGCTGCAACGCTAATATTTACACGGCACATTGCAAGCACACGCCCTCCCTCTCTCCTTGTTGCTCTAGGAATCTATATGCAACGGATCTAATACTAATCACCATCGTGAATGGAAGTTGAAAATTTTCTTATTCCCTTCGAGTGTCTATATACAAACCTCCAGGGAGTTACGCATGCAAGCGTTTGCACACTCCCAGTAAAATCGCTGTCGGCGAGACTTCATCACAACGTACGCAAGAAGCAAGCTCACGAATGTGAATGTATGCTACGTGAAGGCGCACAATAGGCAAACAAATTTAGCTTAATTTGCGGTGCTTCTGAATTTTATGACTCTCTTCGCGTCATAGAATTAGTGGCGTGTCTAATAATGAGCTGACATATATTGAGCTGACGTCACGTCACACATTACTTACAACTTCTGAGTGTGATAAAAAGTTGAATGGAGCACTAACTGAGAAAAATATAGGGATGGCTCAAGTTTAGCCTATAAAACACGTGTTGGGCGCTCGCTTGCAACTAACATTGTACACTTGTTAAAGGGGTACTGACACGAAGTCTTTCACATATCTTTTGTTTTCTTTTCATCAAACGATAGGCCAATATAGACAAAACCACCGAGAGCGTAAGAAATGTACCGGTAAGCGTGAGTGCGCCCTGAAATATTAATTGCAGTATGTGTTTAAAAGATTATTTACGTTTCTACTGTACCCTTACGTCAAGACATGATATGAGCAGCGCTATACCAGGTGGTAGTATGTGCACGCTCAAGTCTTCGTGGCGTATTCTCGTCCACGCGTCGCTACGCGCCCGAGTGTGGCAATTGACTGTTGCGGCAGGAGCAAGACACAGCGTTGCGATGGCATTAATTTTAAGGTGTGTGTTCTTCGCCGCCAACCCAAAGAAGGTCAGCAACTACACGTTTCGCGTGTTCGCGTCCGGGGTTGACTGCAGCGAACAGAGTAAACTCCGTTCGGTCGGCGCCCAGTCTCCATCTCGGCGTCGGCGCATGAAGTCGACCCATGCTTGTCTCGGTGCCGGATCGGACGGGAATCGGCGAAACTTGCACCTATTGTCCCCGTTTCACTGGCGCAAGACTCCGCAGCGCAAAATATCGGTGCATTGACGACAAATTCGAAATCAAACGATTTCTTTGCCCTCTATAAGCGCATATATTGTATTCGCGTGCACGTACACTATTCCAGACTCCGCTATCTCGTTTCACAGGTGTACGCTGTATGACAGTGACCATGCGACCACATGGCGCGAGCAGACGATCGAGAAGGTGCACGCAAGCTGCAATTTGTGTGTGTGTGTGTATGTGTGTGTGTGTATGTGTGTGTGTGTGTATGTGTGTATGTGTGCGTGTGTGTATGTGTGCGTGTATATGTGTGTGTATATATGTGTGTGCGTGTGCATGTGTGTGCGTGTGCATGTGTTTGTATATGTGTGTGTGTGTATATGTGTGTGTGTATATGTGCGTGTGTGTGTGCGTGTGCGTGTGCGCGTGCGTGTGCATGTGCGTGTGTGTGTGTGTGTGTGTGTGTGTTCACGTCATCACAACTAGCCAGACTACTACGAGAAGTCACCAGGATTAGTACTGTATAGCCTAACGTCACGTTAGTGTCGATGTCAGTACGTGCGCCGCGAGAAAATTGGCTTTAATATCAAAATACAGTATATAATCAGCACATGCAATAGCTTATCGCTCTGAGTGGCACACTTGCTCAGAGCAGTCTCTGTATACAGGAGATTTGTATGGAATAACAAACTCACCTCCGGAAAGGGCGTCAGTAATCTTTTGAAAAGTACTTGTGAAAGAGTGTTAAAGACAACTATGTACAGGTTATCACGGAGCCAAATAACATTCCTACACGCAGACATGTCTTCACTCGACTTGTATAGCAAGAGTTCTTGATCGATACTCTGGTTCTATGTCATCATTACCCTCAATAGCCCATAGCTGAAAACTTCAAATGTCCATCATCGTCAAATGATTTTTTTTTATTTTGGAGAACATGGGTACAATGATAAGTTATAATCAAAACGAGTTAGTATTCAGTGTTCAAATCAATCTCGCGCAGTTCGTAGTACGAATGTGTGAAACAACTATATGTTGATGTCAGTATTCAACGTTAAACTAACGTTAAACTACTGCACAAAAGATGTCCATACAAGCACATTCTGAGCACTTCGTAACTCCTGTGCGAGGTGCAAAGGTCGGCACTAGGAGGAAATGATCCTTGTACAGGAAATTGTCCAACGTCTTTATTCACACACAAAATGCCTATTTTTTTTAAAAGCACAGTACCAGAACAGCACTCTCATGATTCACAAATATGTGCATTTGTCATCCTGCTCGTGGATTAGGGGATTGCTCTGTGTGCGATTTCCTTCCAAAACACTTTCCGAGACAAGTGTCAGCTCTTTCTTTCTCCGTAACAGCGTTCACCGTGTAGCGTATTTTTCGTTTCTCATAGCATGCATTCCGGAGCTCTAAACGTGCATAGCGATGACAGCGAACTAGCAGATCACTTTGACAGGCACCAAACGTCCGCAGTGTAACGTTATAAAGGTATGGTTGCCTAGTAGATTCCTAGATGGTACAATCGAAAGGCGTAAAATGTTCTCAAAAGTGTAGGTATCCAACTTTGGGCCCCTCTAGGTCAGCCTACTTAAGACCACACATTAATAATCAGGAGTTAACACTCCAGCGACCCGAACTTCAGGCACCCACTATCACGAAAGTGACTTACGGTCTGAAAACGCCGAAGTGCCGTTTCAGCGTCACCATGCCTCGATGTGAGAATCAAACATTGTTGCACTCACTTCCATCACAAACAGTTATTCATTCCTACATCAGTAATTTAAAGTGTTCGAAAATAGATGAGTGTGTGGCAGCAGCTTGTACTCACGGAATAGTAGACAATAATAAATGTTGAGCATTAATATGTCAAAACCACCATATGATTATGAGAGACGCCGTAGTGGACGGATCCAGAAATTACAACTACCTGGGGTTCTTTAACGTGCACCCAAATCTAAGTTCAGTGTCTCGAGCCTTTTTGCCTCCATCGAAAATGCGGCCGCCGCGACTTGGATTCGATCGCAAGACCTCTAGAATATTAGAGAAACGTGGGATAATTGCACGCAGTTTGTCGCCCCTTTATTTAGGTACATTCCAGATTTTAGCGTCTTTTGCGTTATTTGTTTGTGTTTCGTTTTCGCCGAGTGCACCTTGATTAGATTAAGGTCCCCCCCCCCCCCCCCGCACCGTCTACGTCACTCGCGGGCAAATCAATTGACGATATAATTGTCACTGCTACGGCCCATTCACAGCAGACAACACATCTTCTCAGCGCCAGTCATTTGTGAGCAAAGAGTTCAAGAAGCGTCAAGCGAACGTATAGCTTCTGTAGGTACGGAGCACACGGTGCGGCACGACCGACTTGGTGACTATGCTGGGCGTGTTAACCTGACAAGAACCTGACAAGATGCCTACAACTCGAAGACGCACCACGATCAACCGTCGCTCTCCTCGCAGTCCGTGTTCATCGCGTGTGCACAAGCGTCGGCCGAGTCCTGCGACGAGCTGCACACGTTCAGTTCACCGTCATCGTCGCTGTCTCCCGGCGGTGTCGACGACACGGTGTCCTTCGCCGCGGCCTCGCACTTGGTCGAAGGCGACACGTCCCGTCCCCTGGCAAAGCGCAGCGCGGCACTGCACCGGCACTGGTGATTGGGCGGCAGCTGCCGGCGTCCGTGGCTGCTCTCCTTCTTGTACTTGACGCGCCTGTTCTGGAACCAGATCTTGACCTGCTTCTCGGACAGCTTCAGGTAGGTGGCGATCTCGATGCGCCGCAGTCGCGACAGGTACATGTTGGAGGTGAACTCGCGCTCCAGTTCCAGCAGCTGGGTACTCGTGAATGCCGTGCGAACCCGCTTGCCGACGCCGCTGGAGTTGTCATCGCCCGCAGCCGAGGAGCCGCTGCTGACGCCGTTCGGAGACGAACCTGAAACCACAGAAAAAAAAAAGAACGTTAGGGTGTGTAATTGCAATGTAAAACTCGGCGAAAGTATGCGCCTGAAATCGTGGACAAAGAGTTAAGGGAATGCCACAGAAAGCTGGTCGACAGTTTCAAAAATTGCTGATCTACGTATACGCTTTAGGCGGGCATTCATCATTGACGTCTTAACAGAGCAGCTGATTGGGCGATGTTAGCGAGCCATGTTGCTTGTATGAATTGAAACACGTAACGAATCAAGGACTATACGTGAAGACAGAAAAAAAAAACGCATTCCTTGCCCCTGTCTTTACGTAACCTCTGGCTGAATATGCGCTCAAATTCCTAAGTGGTGCTTTAACTTGGAAACATCACTGCAACGCCACGTGCGTTGAGTATAAAGACAAGCTGCTCAATAAATCGTTCTTGTTGTGTTAGCTGGCTTCCGTGTTGTAACAGAAAGGTAAAACTTCTAAGGCAATTATAATGTAGCCACGGAGAGAAGTAACAATAGGCCGATTACGCTGTCGTATCAAAGGCGCGATGTAAATCGGACAGAAATATTAATTTACTATCCACTGTTCATACAGTATATACCTCATATATCCCCCCCCACCCCCCAAAAAAATGTTAGTGTAAAATTATACGTTTTCTTGTGGGTTGCCGTGTAAGCCATCGTCCCGGAAGGTCTTGCACACTCGCGGATGATTTGAGTTTAACTAGAAAAGCTTATCCTATTGAACGCGATCCGAAATGAGTAGAATATGACTTTTGAGATCACGGCACCTTGTCGTCAAGCTTGACTTGAATAGGAAAAGGTATAGTTACCACCCTTCACGATGGCAAAGCACCTGTCGTACGTTCGTGGTATACACCTACGAGCGATTCGCGATGGGAATTAGGAGTCAAAAGTACGTTCGGGAGCAACTGTTGAACTCCTATGCACGCCCCCTTCGTAGCAGAGGGTGAAAAGCATGCCGTGTACCGCACACTGCGTTTCTACGTGCTAGGAGGTTTCCGCCACCTAATTTCGATACTAAGTGGTCCTTACGTAATCTTCGTGTGAATCGCTGACTTCAGGAGCTCACGGTCAGCGTTCAGACAAAGCCTAGAGGCATGTGATTACTTTCAAGTTGGACAAAACAAGAGAGAAGTATAGGTGTTTAAAGCTTGAGAAACATCGAAGCTGGTTAGTCGTTGTGGCTTAACGTAGCTTTCTTGTTTTACGCTACAGGTTGTCCCTTGGCATATACAAAGTATAGTCCTATACCACAGCCAGTCACAGACCATGTCTAATTGCTCGAACTCAAGCGCCACAGCTAACGCCCTAAGCTTGCTTTGGCTGCCCTGGAATAAGTGCCTTTCGTCGCTCGTATACTCTGCTCTCGAGGCGACCAAACCAGGCGCCCGTCGCTGGGCGCGACTGATAAGCAACTGCAATTTTATAGAGCACAGAAAAAGATGGGCAAAGAAATACGTGACAGACACAGGCGCTAACTTGTTCAAAGTTGTTGCGAATGCTAAAACTTGAACAGTGAGAGGGGAGAATGCTGACGAGCGACCATGCCAACTCTGCGCTGAGGCAAAAAACGACAACCACCTTAGTTGTAACGACACCTGACAACAAAAGGAACACGTCAATATGGTGTTTGCCATGCATGCCATGGAGCTGTATACAAAACCACGTGAGAAACATGGAGCTGTGGTTATTTACTGCTTGTGCAGAATATGGGTGTGCCTATAATATTCAGATTACTATCTTACGGTGTCGCGAGCATTGCCAGGAATATTTTTCGGGGTAATTGGTGGTGACGGAGGGGGTTCAATATACCCTGTGAGGTTTCGCGCTTGTGTTTCTGGTGTGGGTACACAATACAAATGCGAAATTCAAAAAAGTTTGGAAGAAGAGGGGGGGTTCAGCCCTGCAATCTCCCCCGCCACTGAACAGATATTGAAAGTTTTTTTTCTTGCAAGATTTAAAACTTAAAATTCCTACACCTTTGTCTTTCAAACACGATGATACGATATAATTTATGGGCATGTGTAATCATATGATAACATTTTACTTTTAACGTGATATTGCAGGAACTCCGGCGTCGGTGTTGGCGTTGGCGTCGTTTGTTGTGAGCAAAAAATCCTCTCGTTCGTGACCAAAAAAAATCGAGAAATTTGCAAATAAAATAAAACTGGGCCAACTAGCACAGCTTGCCATCTTGCTGAAATAATAAAAGGCTATGGTTTGAATGAAAATCACACCGAGGCCGTCTTCGTGGCAAATAGTTGTTCTGCCACAGAGCTATGCCATGTCCCGAAACTGCTTCGAAAAAAAAAAAGCACTGTATAAATGCCATATAGTGGAGTTTTCTTAACGCACGTCGTGGCAGAAGCGTAGAATCACACCAGGCGTCAAAACAGGTGAAGTCTGCAACAAGTGGGTGTTTTAAAGGCTCAACCATTACAATACACTGAAAGATACTCAATCATCAGCAGCTGAAAAAACGTCAACAAGGTGATTAGCTGCATGGCTTCACGTGTTGACTTATACAGATTCCTCGCTGATTCTCAAAAGGAAGGATTGTGATGTCCACTCAAGAACTCTATCGGAAGTAAGCAAATGAGTATCAATACAAAAAATAATGAAATGAAGGCAGCATTCCAGGTTACTTTGAAACGGCCAGTGTAGCGCGCGCAGTCGTTCGTCTACCTATACGCCGCAGTTGTGGCACTCACCGATAAGCGAAGCTAGGCTATAGCAATCGAGAAAGCGCTGTGCATGGTGGGATATTACGCTATCGCGCATTTCGGAAGGTAAAGCGCGAGCTTCCTCCCAGTTTTTTTTTAACATTCTATGGAGTCTCGAAAGCATGAGAGCAGTTGATGATGATGATTTGTGAGGTTTTACGTCCCAAAACCACTATTTGATTATGAGAGACGCCATAGTGGAGGGCTCCGGAAATTTTGACCACCTGAGGTTCTTTAACGTGCACCCAAATCTGAGTACACGGGCCTACGACATTTCCGCCTCCATCGGAAATGCAGCCGCAGCCGGGAATCAAACCCGCGACCTGCGGGTCAGCAGCCGAGTACCCTAGCCACTAGACCACCGCAGCGGGGAAGCATGAGAGCAGTTGGCAGTTGCAATTGAGGCAAGTTCATGTGGCCAACTGCCAACTCGCAAGCTCGCCAAACCACCGTACAGTTTTTGAATGCTCAAGGCTTGATATGGTACTTTTTGCGCCAACTGCAATGATGCACCCTATGCTCGAAGCTATAGTCTGCATTTATTTTTCCGCTGGTTTCTTCATGGGCTTCAACGGCATTGTCAGTCAGAATGCTTACAAAATTCACTAGTCAGATTAAGCTAGGTTAGATTAGTGCCAACTACCGTTGTTGAACGGATAATTTATGAAGCTAATCTAAATTATTTTGCTAGTTCTTGCTCCAATGCGCAAGCGACTCCCTGCCATTTTATCAATTTCTCGATTGTAAGCATCTGGTATATTGATTCGCAAAAAAATTGAAAATTTCACAGTTTACGCGCAACAATTTGCTCAACGGGGCGTCCTTTGCCCATTAAAATCTGCAATTTCTTCCCTCCACCTCAAAAAGCGATCTTCTTATTTCGACTAAAAAACGCTGCTATGTTCGAACGATCTTTTTGAATAACTGATATTGATTATATGTGGGTTTTAACGTCCCGAAACCACCATATGATTATGAGAGACACCGTAGCAGAGGGCTCCGGAAATTTCGACCACCTGGGGTTTTTTTTAACGCACGCCTCAATCTGAGCACATGGGCCTACAGCATTTCTGCCTCCATCGGAAATACAGCCGCTGCAGCCGGGATTCGATCCCGCGACCTGTGGAGCCGAGTACCTTAGCCTCTAGACCACCGCGGCGCAGCGATGTTTTTGAATAGTGAAAAACCAAAAATGATTTAATATATACGCTCATAAGTCTAAACAACAGCAACAACATTTAATATTAGTATACGTAAATGCGGCGTAACACTCAAAAATGATAACACAGCTTCACTCCATGGTTTTAGGCCACTGTGACACTTTTCCTGTTCCCAGTTGTTTCTCAATAGATATAATATCCGTTATACAAACAAGTTCCGAAAAGTTAAGGTAACAATTTCTTTGCAACTAAGGTAATTCCATATACCTCTTCAACCATAATAATAATAGTTAAATATTGATTCAAACGAGAATGATAGATCAGTACATAGTAAAAGGATGGTATTATACTGTGTATCTAGCATTTGTGGTCGGTTGTGAGAAAACTAAGCCAGAGAAATATACAGCTTTTGAGGCGACTAATTTTCCACGTACATTTATTTAGACAATTGAAGTTGGACCCAAGATTTTGTATAGGTTAACCACTGAAATTCGTCTTCGAAATGAAAGTACTGTAAAGCGTGCTAGCAAAAATTTAGCTATGCATTCTCAGAAAATCTTTCAATGAACACTTTACAGAGCATCCGATAGTACTTCTCCTTGCCTTTCCCGTAAGCGAGAATGTTTCGGTTATCGCCCCTTCACATTACGAAAGTCACTGGGACCGTGACCCGACAAGTGTTTTCAGCAAAATGCAAATGCCTCCCCCAATATATATATATATATATATATATATATATATATATATATATATATATATATATATATATATATATATATATTTGTGGGCGCAGCTAGACAAACGCTCGGGGTGAGCAGCCATGCGCTCATCGCAAGCCGTAACGTTTTGTATCATACACTGTGAGTAGAACTTCGGCAGAGATGTGTTAACCTTTTATTTTAAGGAGGATTCCTGCAGACGAACCGTTCCTTGCCATGTAATTTATTGACACTTTTCAGTTTGGTTATATGCTTTTCATTACATGTTCATTTTTGGTTGTAGGTAACCATGCTTCTTTTTTATTCTTTCTTTTTTGGAGAACAAAACGCAGAATGTGTTCTGTCGTCCAAAATATTTGTTTCTGCTTGCGAGGATGGTAGCCCTGGC